CCCCACCCCCCCACCCCCTGCCCCCAGGTGTTGGCTCTCAGGCGTTTGGGGCTGTGCGGAGAGGAAGGGTGTGCTTAGGAGGCAGTTCCTTATAACTGGGGTTACACAGACAGCTCTCACTGTGTAAACTCATTCTCCAAACAAGCCAGTTAAAAGGAGAAAGATAAGAGTGAAGGTGTGTGTGTAAAAGGGCCATGATGTCCCTGCCTGGGGCTCTCCTGAACTCTGCGTAGATGTGCGGAGAGATGTCTTTGTAGACAGAATCTTCCTTATTCGGCTTGATCTAGCACATTGAGTTGCTGTAACCAGAAGCATCCTTTTTTTCTGTGGACAGTTGTTGCTTCCTGGCCATCTATTTAGCTGACCCTGGGTCCTGGCCAGAGGAAACGGATGATAAACAGTATTTAAACTAAAAAAAAAACAACAAAATTGTGGGAATGAAGTTTTTAAATTTGAGAAAATGTGATGTATTTGTTCTTTTTCTCCATGGCAGACAGAAGGTATTACTTGCTTTTGGCAGGCTTGCCCTTTGGCCCCGCTGAGGAGACAGGCGGGGCATCATTTACAAGCTTTCCCCGCTGCTCAGCCCCAGCATGGCGTGCCCATTTTCCTCTCATAGGCCTCACTGGTATTGAGGGGACATGTACAGTGACTCTGAGTAATACAAAAATGTTTCCTCTCCATTATAAGAACAATATAAATCGAGCTATTGAAAATTCCCAGTGCAGATGGCAGCACACATACGCCTTACAGATTGTCTGTGAGGACACCTTGTAGCATTATCAGATTCACAACAGCCATTGTGGTCTTTCCCTCCAGAAGGTTCTCCATGATTGAGGGGGAATTCCCCGGGTTTCGTCCTGACTTGGATCTGGGGTGGAATGCCGGGTCTGCCACTTCCAGGAATCTGCCTCTGTGGGCGCTGAATTGGTCCTGCTCAGTCCAGACAGAAAGTAACCCTCGAGGGAGTAGAGGAGGACCACATGACTCCCCTGTGGCTCTCTCTGCACTGTTGTTGTCCTGGAAGGCTCTCACTGTGCTTACGTGAGCTTCTCTGTGGGGGAGGGCCTAATCCATAGTTTCTTTCTGAGAGAATACATGGGAACCATCTAGTCCCTTGTTCCCTTGCTCACCCAAGAGGAAGACAATTGCCTCAACTAAAAGAAGGGGGCTCTTCTGAGACTGCTGTCCTTGAACAAACCTTTGCAGACTCTCACAGGCTCATTTATTTTCCCACAATAAAGCAACCTAACTTCCAATTTGCTACTTATTTCTAGATAGACTTAATAATCCTCTCCCAGTAAGTTGACAGTAGCTAATAGCTGAAGCCAAACTGATGCTAGCCTGTATATGGGCATTTTTTCTATATTCGTGGCAGGCCTCAGAAGATAACTCAGTGACAGACCATTCATGTGTATCAAAGAATTTTACCTCTGTTATTCTAAAGCACAGAAAGATATTGTTCCAGATCCAAGGAGGGTAAGAGTAAGAAACGCAGTCCACCACCAGGACACAAAGAGAACTCTGTGCGAGGGCACACAACCAAGGGACAGGCACAGGAAGAAGAGTGTCAGAGCGAGGCCAGAGAAGAAGCTCAGAAGAAAAGCCCACGGCTAGAATAGGACAGAACTCAGGAAATTGGTGTTGTCTTGGGCTTGCTTTCTCTGTCATCTAGCTCTCAGAGGGTGATCAAAAAAGGTGCACGTCCTCAGAGCTTTGCCTGAGCCATCTTGCCCCCCAGCCACTCTGGCCTAGAGCGTGGCTTGCTTTTAGGAAAGCCCTCCAGGGGAAGAAGTGATGATTGCCTTGACTTTTCCAGTGGATACCGAGTCTGTAATGAGCTGGAGCTGAGTATGTTAAGGTGGGTTTACGTGAGGCCAAGCCACTTTGAAATGAAACCCAGCCAGATCTGTAATTGGATGGACTCTTCAGCGAGTGGGTGGTGGAGGGAGCTAAGAGAAATTAGACTGCAAGGGGAGGTAGGCTGTGACACGGAGACCAAATTCTCTACGATGGACAGGATTCACTAGTTTGGGACTTAGGACCCCAAGGTCATGAAATGTGCATGGTTCTAGTTCTCAAACTATCCCAAGCCAATTATCATGGCAGCCCATCTGCACACACTCATGGTTAATGTAATGTTTGTATCCAAAGCTACTTTCTTCTAAAGCCTCATTTAAACATGATCCCCTGAGGTACTGCTGGTGTGTTGAGACTGTAAGGCTAGTTGGCTGGGACTCCAGGCACATTGGCTAAACCTTGGCCTGTCCTTCGGTTTTAATTAGTCTGTGGGCTACTTTTCTTTCATACCTCCAGGGAAAATCCTTCCCCCCATTCTTTTCCCTGCTTTAAATTCACACATAAGGAAATGTCCAGTGTTTAAAAATAATAGTTGTCGAGGATCTGCAAGAGTCCCTTAACTACCTATTCAATATTTAGTGTGTGTGTAGGTGTTCTGTGATATTGATTCCCATGGCCCAGATACAAGGCCCGGACAAGCCCTGAGGCTTTCCTGGTGGTGGGTGGGAAACAGAGGGCTAGTGACTGGGCTGACTGGGCTCCAAGTCTGGCTGAGGCCAGTGAGTTGGTCTTGGTTCTCTTGCTGCTTAGCTGTATTTTGTAAGGTGGAGCTAGTCATTGAATGAGTGAATACCTACAAAGTACCGGGAGCAGGACCCAGTGTTACCTTAGCATGCAGTAAATCAAAACATGTCAGTGCTGTTGTGGAATATTAGTCATTTATGCTGTGGGATATTTGTTTAATGATGCAAAGATGTGTTGCATCCTTTTATGTTGTATTTGTTTAATTCTGTAAAGCTGTGTTACTGTGACTGTCTAAAACACCTGATTGGTCAAATAAAGAGCTAAATGGCCAATAGCAAGGCAGGAGAGAAGGATAGCTGGGGCTGGCAGGCAGAGAGGAGAAATAGGAGGAGAAATCTAAGCTTGGGAGAAGAAGAGGGAGGAGTGAGAAAAGGAGGAGAAGAAGCCAGCCATGGAGTAAGAAGGAAAGAAAAATAAATAGAATAAAGAAAGGTAAAAAGCCCAGAGGCAAAATGTAATTAAAGAGAAATGGGATGATTTAAGTTAGAAAAGCTGGCTAGAAACAAGCCAAACTAAGACTGGGCATTCATAAGTAAGAGTAAGTCTCTGTGTAGTTATTTGGGAGCTGGGTGGCAGGTCCCCAAGGAGTAGAAAACAATCAGTTACACAGTGGCTCTTCCCCTCATTTCTTTTGTCCCTTTCGTACCCTCCTGTCATTATTTCTGACTTCTGATTTTTGTCTCAGCAGATATTTTCTTGAGGTGTTAACGTATGCATCCATGCAGCCCATGCAGCATCCATGCAGCCCATGCAACCCAAATGGGTACATTAGGACCCTTCTCTATCGTCCCTGTTACTCCCCGCTGAAAGTGGAGCTTATGAGTGAGCTGTTCCCTGCTGGGGCAGGCAGGAAGGCTGGGGAGTCCACACATCTGACACACAGGTTTTGCTGCTACAGGTCGTGAAGCCCTGTTCTCTCCCTCTCTCCACACCCCACCCCTTCCCACCTAAAAGTCCTATGTGTCACTGGGAAGGAGAAGAGGTAAAGGTGAGGCTGTGTGCTTTCCACAACCCCATGGCTGGATCGTTCTCTCTGATCCAGGCCTCATCTCCATGGTAATGAGGTGCAGCAAGACATTCCATGATGAGCTGGGGAAGAATTCTATGGATTTAGCCCCCGTGTGTGCAGAAAATACCTTTGTTCCATACAGATATGCCACCAAAGTCTCTACTTTAAAGTCCCTTTACGCAGCAGAAGCATTTCATCACAAAAGTCGGCTCTGGAAACAGAGACAGACATGGTACAGCCATCAATCTCTGTTCTCAGTGTGGATAGAGGGTGTGACAGGGATCGTGCTGCAGCACTGCTTTCTGCTCATAACGCGCATGGCCCTGGGCTTAGCGGCAGCAGCAATCTTTCCTTCCGTTCTGGAAGGAAAGGGATGGGACAGAAGAGGGTAGGTTTGGGACGGAAGAGTGCTGGCTGGCAAGGGAAACAACCAACAGGATGAAGAGGAAGGGAACAGGAGAGGAAGGCTAGAGCGCTGCTGTGGGAACAAATAATGGCACAGACAATGCCCTCTGTGG